CATAATTCTATGATACTGTCTATGAAATATTACCCATTCGGTAGACATACTCCACACGATAAAGTTGGCCGGCTCCGATGATAAAAAAATGCACATAAGCAGCAGTAGAGAGCGGAAGGAAGTTGCAGCAAGTGAGTTTTTTATGACACTACAGGTCCTTCTCAAAACATTAACATATTGTGATAAAGTTCATTATTTTCCATAATGTAATGCTAAAAATTAAACTTTCATATATTTTAGATTCATTGCACACCAACTGAAATATTTCAGGTCTTTTATTGTTTTAATACTGATGATTTTGGCATATAGCTCATGAAAACCCCAAATTCCTATCTCAAAAAAATTAGCATATTTCATCCGACCAATAAAAAAAAGTGTTTTTAATAGAAAAAAAGTCAACGTTCAAATAATTATGTTCAGTCATGCACTCAATACTTGATCAGGAATCCTTTTGCAGAAATGACTGCTTCAATGCGGTGTGGCATGGAGGCATTCAGCCTGTGGCTTTCTTCATTCAGACTTTCTCTTCACAATATCCTACAGATTTTCTATGGGGTTCAGGTAAGGAGAGTTGGCAGGCCAAATGAGCACAGTTATACCATGGTCAGTAAACCATTTACCAATGGTTTTGGCACTGTGAGCAGGTGACAGGTCATGCTGAAAAATGAAATCTTTATCTCCATAAAGCATGAAGTGCTCCAAAATCTCCTGATAGCTAGCTGCATTGACCCTGCTCTTGATAAAACACAGTGGACCAACACCAGCACCCCAGACCATCACTGAATGTGGGTAATTGACACTGGACTTCAGGCATTTTGCCATTTCCTTCTCCCCAGTCTTCCTCTAGACTCTGGCACCTTGATTTCCGAATGACATGCAACCTCTGAGCAACAGTCCAGTGCTGCTTCTCTATAGCCCAGGTCAGGCGCTTCTGCTGCTGTTTCTGGTTCAAAAGTGGCTTGACCTGGGGAATGCGGCACCTGCAGCCCATTTCCTGCACACGCCTGTGCACGGTGGCTCTGGATGTTTCTACTCCAGACTCAGTCCACTGCTTCCTCAGGTCCCCCAATGTCTGGAGTCGGTCCTTCTCCACAGTCTTCTTCAGGGTCCGGTCACCTCTTCTCGTTGAGCAGCGTTTTTTGCCACACTTTTTCCTTCCCACAGACTCCCCACTGAGGTGCCTTGATACAGCACTCTGGGAACAGCCTATTTGTTCAGAAACTTAGCACGATGAGAAAACATACCACAACTAAAGTGAAAATCAGCGAAGAAATGACTGGAGTTGCCAAGTGCCCCTTTAAATCGCAAACACTCGTTGGTGATTTAAAGTTGAGTAAAACTTGAGGCTAATTGATGCTAACAGGTGCAGTTTATTTCATGATGTATTCATCACATGATTTGTTTTCTAGAAAGACTATTAATAATAGATAGATAAATGTCTATTGGGATACATTTCAAGTGATATAAGGCTGGAGTTGCTTTGTTTCGCTGCCATTCACAAATCCTCTCCCGTGGCCTCATGGTGTCCATTGTATGTGCACTTCAGAATCTCAGCAGAGTCTCTTTTGGCATGCTGTTTTTAACGTACAGGGACGTGTTCAACTTCGGATGCAGCAAACATGCACAGTGGTCAACATGGATGTTTTAGAAAGACACTATTTGGGTCTCTTGTTCGATATTAGAGGACACTGCATCCCCCATTTATAATAGTGCCTCACGTCTCATTTCTGTAGAGGTTCAATGTCAGTACTAGCAACTTCTAATGTCACCCTGGCTCCTGCCTGTGTGTGTGTGTGTGCGTGTGCGAGCCTAACCTGTCATGGCATCCTAAGCTGTAATAGATCTGCTGCATAATTCATGAGACAGTTCTGTGATTATGAGCATTAATGTCATTACTCAGCAAGCAGCCAATCACGCGACTGATAATGTGATGGCAATGGGGACACATCCTCAACTTCTTCTGGTGTCACTGTCTTTCTGGGATTTACATATACACAAACTCAATTCCGCAGAAATAATATTCTGTGAAATATAAACTCTGTTCCAGCATTCCTAATGGGCTTCAAAGGCAACATCCAAACTGAAATTGACAACCTGGTCTCATGAGAAAAACAAGGTATTTAATGGTATTCGGTCACACGACCTTCGTCAGGAGTATATGCATAACGCATATACTCCTGACGAAGGTCGTGTGACCGAAACGTTGTGTGTGAATAAACTTGATTGAAAAGTGCAAGTAATGATAGTGTGCGGGAGTTCCTTATCTGCTTAAATGACTAGCTAGTCTGGTCTTATTATCCGACGCACCTATCACCTGCAGGTGTGCGATGGAGTTTGGTCACTACTTTTTCAAAAGAATAAAAAATTAAAAAAAAAAAGAGTCATGTTAAACAATAACTTAGCTCTGAAAGGTTTTGTCAAAATGAAAAAAAAAAAAAAAAAAAAAAAAAAACACCCACTCTCCTCATGATTCTTCTTTTGAAATCAAAATATTGCCCCCGGATGGTAAAATGTTTAATTGCTGCCACAAAGTGAAATTCATTTGATTGCTTAAAAACTCACACTGCGCAACCTGCATTAGTTTAATCGATAACAAATGAATGTGATCGACAAAATTCTTAATGATCAATTATCGATCGTCGATTAATCATGCCCATCCCTATTGCAGACAAAATAGCCCTCCACAGATTTATCAAACAATTATTTTCATTATACTTAAATCCAACAAAGTGTGATATTAGCATGTTGCTAAGAGTTCAGCATGAGAATCGCATAGTAACAATACACATCACTGATCAAAATTTGTCAGTTTCAAGATTATTGGTATGCGCCACACAAAACAGCACTCACGTTTATTGAACAATTGATTCCATTAGCATGGTGTTAAGCTAAGAATGTGACAACATAAAAGTAATAGATGAAGTGTCCCATTAGCATATTGCTTGCAAACCACAACAATCATTGGCAGTCTGAAAACCTTAAGAAATGCACAATTAAGTAAATATTCCTAAAATAAGTGTTCATTTGATCTAAACCATTTTGCATACATCTTATTAGCTATCATTTTGTAAACAATAAGCAAAGAAAAAACATTGCATACCAATATTGAGTAAAAATCTGGCCACCCTCTTGGAGGAACATTTTCATCCCCTTTTCACATTGAAATTGGCAAAATTAAATGACTTAGAATGCAATTATGCTGGCCACCTTTTGGAACAATCTTCTTGTCGCTAGCACACCTATGATGCCCTTAAAATGATTTCTAAGTAGGCAGCTCACTAGGTTTTGGAAAAGTGCTGTTGCATTACATATGAATGAAAATACATTTGTATGCATGGGTTTTTCCAAACTATCCAATCTTTCTTCCTCTCTACCTCAATCTTGCTCTTCTTATTTCAAGCTATCAGTGTCCTTGTTTCCTTTCCCTCTTGCAAGCGCTCAATGAATCCGACATCTGAGGCATTTCATCTAAGGTCCTCACACCTCATTCTCATTTTTTTATCGTAATCTCTTGTCATCCATCTCTCTCATCTGTATTCTCCAAACAACTCTCTTTCTCCTGGGTACGGATCTCACGTGTTGCTCTCTGGTCTAATGGAATCACAGCTCAGTCTCTCAGCAGGACAGTAATCACTCACATACACACTCTCTCTCTCTCTCTCTCTCTCTCTCTCCTCTCTCTCTCTCTCTCTCTCTCTCACACACACACACACACACACACACACACAACACAAGGGCTTCACTTGAGCAAAATCCTCACAGAAAGTATTGGTGCAGTCAAAAGACAGCATATACTGTGTATATCTTTGTCAAATCCCATTTCTCCCAGGCTACACTCACACTGTCAGTTTTTGGGATTGACAACCGCATTTACTTGTCTTGAAATGTCCCGTTGAAACAGCAACGTGCCGTAGCGTCTCGAATACAGTCTGAACGTCCAATGGGAGTAATCTCAAAGATTGAAACGTCCACAAAACTGGAAAGTCTTATCACTTTTAATAAGACAAAAGTCCATTGAGCCACACGAATCTCATCATTCAAATCTTCATCAACTGACAGCAGCTTTTATATCTGGGTGGAAAACAGAGCATTTGTGTCACGTTTTAGACTGGATCTAAAACCTTCAGATGAAACAGAACTCTTTTCTCAGATTTCTCGCACTGTATGACGTTGTAGTCTGGTAACGTTCACACAGTCTGGGTTTTACAAGAATGCGTTTGTATGTCCTGATCATTTGAGTTCGGTTCTAGAAAGCGGTTGTCACTCCCATAAATAACTGAGCTGTGTGTGAACCTCACCTTAACACTGCTAGAAAGCACCCAAAACAAACTAACAACCAACTGACCCTTCGCAGGGAGTTTGATTGACAGCCAATCATAATACACCATCCGCCAAATCCACCAATCCACCAAAAACGGAGTGTACTGACCTCTTTTTGCAGTTAAAACAACATTCCTTATGTTCATTCATGTTTATTTGATGCTATAAATTAACTAGAAGGAAGAGATGATAGGTTCATGAGCAGCTTTAACTGAGACTCTACACTACAGCGATCTGTTAGACACATTACACATTATTGTTCAATTACCAAATTTGAAAATTGAGACTTTGTTTCATTTCAAAAGTAACCTGGTCTGTCCTGTCTGTCAGTGCATTGTCTCCGCAATGTATTTTGCACTGCGTGAGAACATAGTGGGGCGTGAGAGTGGCGTAGCTTGTTGGACATAGCAACAGTAACTAAAGGGGGCGGGTCTTTGCGAATGTTCAATTACCAACATGCTAGAAACCACAAAGTGCATCCTATCAAGGCCTTATCAAAGCCTTGCCAACCACCCAAGCATTGTGGCGGCATCATTGCAATGTTCCAAAGAATTTGATGTATGTAAAATCAAGTGCTCCAACAATATCAGCCAGGAATACATCAATAAATGTCCATGAAAAGGCCAAGCCAGTGAGAACAGCAGTGTCGAAGGTTAAGGAAATCAGGAAGAGTTACTCACAGGGTACTGTTCGAAGATAGAGGTTGTCCCGAATAATTTGTTGCAGCTCGTGGTCTAAAGATCCCTTCTGGAATCGCAGGTTGAGATACTGCCTGAGATCTTTATCCACAACACCTCCTGTAACACACACACAGGCAGTTAGATGACCCTCTACCCTGATACAATCTCATCTGATAACCGGCTCCTTGCCGTTTACTTCACATTCACAATAAACTCTGTGAAGAAATGCTTTTGTGTGCAGTTTTTCTGTGGTAATAAAGGACTCCATTACGTGAATGTGTGTGAGGCTGTTCTATTTTCCAAGGAAAAGGCCTGACAATACTGCAGCAAACCATGATTTAGTCACTTGATACAAAAACCTAACCTCAAAGCCATCGCCTGAAGAGCTATGAGAAACGTATGTGATGGTTTCCGTTTTGTTCTGAGGTCAAAAATCTTTTTCATGCTTTTAAGAGGGTCATTCCTTCCGGTTTTGTTTATTTCCCATAGATATAAACACAGCAAAAGTCATGGATACAGACATATTGATATTTTTTTTCTAGAAAAGACTTGAAATCTGAACACATAAGTGTGCCGGGATCCCCATGAGCCACTTCAGTAATAAATACACACACACACACACATGTCGTCATCATTATTACAACCTGTGATGAAATGGGGAGGGGATTCTCTTCAGAAAATGTGCTTTATCAGCAGACAGACAGAGAAGAATGAGAGGGGGGTTGAAGTGAAAAACAGAGATAGACCGATAAGTGAATAGGGAAAAAGCCAGTGAAATATAGAGCCACCCCAAGCCACATTAACAGCATTTCTACAAATTTTTTCTCCCCCCAAAAAATCAAAACCAAAGAGTATTAAGTAAATTAAATCACAGTAAAGCTAAAATCCTTAAAGGGCCAGTTCACCTAAAAATAAAAATTTGGGAAAGCATAAATTCGATGGTGGTGTGTCGCATTAACAAGTATCAAGACTAGTGCAAACAAACAGCATTTCTCCAAATTCCTCAATACTTCCAACAAACAATTTTATTTCAAAGAGCAATAAGTTAATTTCACAGTAAAGCTTAGAAGTTCACCCAAAAATGAACATTAAATTGTTTGAAAATTAGAAAAGAAATACTCAAATCCTTCCAACCAACATGAAAAAAACAGTACCGAACCGTACATCTTTAAAGGGCCAGTTTACTAAAATTTTACATCTTAGCGTGTGTATATTAAAACTTGCCGTGTCAAATTCAGGACTAGTGAGAACATACCGAATTTCTACAAATTTCTAAATTATTCCAACAAACAAGTTTTTGAAATGCAGTAAGTACATTTCACATCCTTAAAGGGACATTTCACCAAATTCTTAGTGTGCAATGCATTCGTACTCTCAGAGTGATACATTGTTATCCGTCAAGTTTGATTATGCGCATATACGAAGAACATTTGAGATCTACGGTGGAACGTACAATTCAGATAATACAGACTTAAATTTAGACCTGTTCCTCACACACAGTGATCATATATCTTCAGAAGACTTGGAATGCACAAATCATATGGACTTCTTTTAATGATGCTTTTATGGCATTCATTGACAATCCCAGTCCCCATCGACTTGAAGGATGACCACAGCTATCAAACTAAATTTTAGTCTGTTTCTAATTTAAAACTATCATATGACTTTTATAAGACACACAAGCCCAACAGATGACTTGCATATTGCTTTTATACTTCTGTTAGCTTTTTGGAGCTCAAAATCTCTAGTCCCCATCCACTTTCATTGTATGGAAAAGGGCAGCATGAACATTTTTCAAAATTTCTTCTTTTGTGTTCCATACAAGGAAAGGGGTTTTAAAAAAAAGTAATACGTTCATTTTTGGGTCAACTTTTCTTTAAACCATAATTGAAATGCACATAAGCTGGTTGAAACGCAAGACATCACAGGTGCAGTCACATGTCGTCAAAAAAAAGGTAAGGACACAGTATAGAAAAAAAGACTTCGTACTATGTAACTGAGCACATGTGGGTGTCAGAAACCAGTTTTCCATGCTTCACATGTGCACCCACCAAACACACACATCACCTATCGATTCATGTATGCACACTGGTGGATATAAGAACTCCACGTAGAACAAACTCGATGCGTCTAGAATAACCTACTTCAGACATACTGGTTAACTAAACATGACAATCAAGCTATTTACACACACACACAATCAGTGAAAACCTCAAATCATGTGTTAAAATCCAACACCGATCATCAGCACACAGTTCTGTCTGGATGACACAGAGCAGGAAATTCACAGCAAATGACACACAAATTGATGAGTCTCACACACTCAGTGCCATGAAGAGAAATAAATAAAGACTGCAGACCCTGAAGCACCCCCCACACACATGCACACACACACACACGTTTCGTCGACTCACAGAGCGCAATGGAACGGCACTTCTTTTGCACGGTTCAGCCAGATGTTGCAGGCGATGATTTGAGCGTGTCTGTGATTGCATGCGTGTGTGTGTGTGTGTGTGTGCAGTCCAGGTCTCCACAGGTCTGTGGCCACAGTGTGCCGGTTTCCTAGCAGCGTTAGATGGGTTCAGTGCTACAGGCAGTCTCCCTGCATGTTGCCGTAACAGAGAGTGTCGCTCTGCAGTGACCGAGAGAGAGAGACAGAGAGAAAGAAAGAGAAAGAGAGGTTGAGCACTGAGACGCTGCAGAAGAAACGTGCTTTAACAGTGGGAACCTATCACAAAGCTCTCTCTCCCTGTGTATGAGATGGAGAATGGGAAGAGATTCATCGCCCTCTATGGGAGAACTGGAGATGAGCAGCATAGATGAACTAGATAGCAAATACAATCTGATTTGCTGCTCAAGGAACATTCATTATTATTATCAATAAATAGTTGAACTGCTGATTATTTTTATGTAAATCATGATACATTTTTACAGAATTCTTTGAATAGAATGTACCAAATATTAAATATTAGTGCTAAATAAAAACTAAATATTTGTAACATTCTAAAATGTCTTTGTCAGTTTTGATCAATTTAATATATCAATTTCAATTAAAATATCAATTTTACAGAAAAAAAGTACTAATTTCTATCCTACTGACTCCAATGTTTTGAATGGTAGTGTTCCTTCACAACAGAGCAAAGTAACCAATATTTTGTATCAAGATTTTGAAAAATTAAGCTGGTTATAGAGGAAATGCTTACATACACACTGGCTGCATCAGAAATTGCATACTTCCCTACTATATAGTAGGCGAAAAAAAAATCTGTAACAAAAGGAGTATGTCCGAATTCACAGTACTCATAAAAGCGTAGGCAAAAACAACCCGGATGATCTACTTCTTCCGGCAAGATTCTGAAGTGCGCATTTGATAGACACTTTACTATCCCATGAGGCCACGGGAGAGGACTTGTGAATGGCAGTGAAGCGACGTAGGTCACATGATAATGATGTAGTACGTCCAGATCACATTCATACTACACACTCATACTATACAGAAAGTACTTTTTAAGCGGCTGTGCAGTAGCCTATTTACTTATCCAAAATAAGTATTACCTACTCAATTTTAAAGAAACAGTAATATTTCCATATTTACATTTACCATTCTGGATGACTGTTTCTTACTGATGGAGGGCATATTTAGTTTGATAGTTACACGAACAAGATAGAAATCATGTCGACTGCTAAGACCTCAAGATCCATCACAACTCTGAGCTTTAGTTTGTCTTCCAAATTAGCAATGTTCGAGTTGCATTTGTTCTCTTAGATAATGAAAAATGCTGTGTAAGAAACTTTGGGAACACTTTCAAGTGATATTTTAGACAATTCTTTTTAGTTATTGGAAATGAGCCATCCAAACAAACTACTCAATGATATGCACTATATATATATATATATATATTTTTTTTTTTTTTTTTTTAGAATTCTAATAATTTTGACCCAATGACAGGAGCAGACGTCAAGAGAGGTCCAGATCTGTCTTCTGTTTTAGACAAGAACTTCAGAATCAGCAGCTCAACTTACTTTTCAAAGTTTCAAAGGATTTCATAAAAACCCACACAAAATGAGTAAGTGAAGTGTTCAGGGTGCCATTGCCCTTGAGTGAGCACAGAGCACATGATGAAGAACAGGTGCCATCAGAACCCCCAGAGAGAGGGAACAGACTGTATTGAATTCTCATAACGTCCCACAGCTGCTGCTTTCACCTCAGTGCCAGAAAGTACATCTTCTCAACTCTTTTCACATGGTTACTTAGGCTATAGAGTGCCAAAGTTATGACGTCACTTTGTAGGCCAAAACCCCGGTAGTGAGTTAGTATTTTAGCACTTCCGGTTCCATCGCTCTAAAGTCTATGGGTTTTTTGAATGGGTTTTTGCTAAATCGTCTGAAATAATGTCTGTGGTTAATACAGTCTCTAAATATTTTCGAGTTTTAATCTATGACATAAAACACACCAGTTATAACCTGCTTAAACTTTATATAGGCTTCAAAATGTATACATTTTGGATTAACTTGTAAAGATTATTACACACTGACACACGTTATTCGTCAGCTTTTTTCAACGCGTTTTTTGTGTTCACACCCAAGTGATTTTTGCTTGAGAGAACATGCAAATTCATTCCCTGACATTAGATGGCGCCCATTTGCTCTGCAATACCACTCCATAACAGTTCTCTTTTATCAAGATGTGTGTAGTCCCTGTCGCGTTTGTCATATAGTTCTTTATGTTCTAACACCAAGGAGACCAGCAGCTCTACATTCATCTTGCCTTGCATCTTCCTCGTCTTATTTCTTCCTGGCAGTGTAGATGGCGACGCTATTGGCGTAGATCTTCTTCTCTATTACGTATGTGTGCTCGGCAAGACCGTTTTGTGTTTGAGCGCCCCCAAGTTGTGTTTTACTGTAACTTCAGAAGCTCCAAATACGTGAGCAAAAGCGGCAATCTCATTTGTCGGATATTTTTTCAAACTAAAAACATGAACCCGAGGCGTACAACACTTTTCAGCGTGGCGTTTTCCGTGTCGGTGTGCACACTCACATTGGCGCCCTTTGTTTAGTCACGAGGCGTTAAACGTCGGCGAACATCGCGCGTGACATTCGTCCCGGTGTGATAAGGC